ATGTCCAAATAGAAGCAGAATATTGGACAACATGAGTTACAAGTTGAGGGTTAGGTGGGCATCCATTATATGAAGTGATTAACACTCATTACTAGAAGCTTTGGGGTCATTTGGGCATAGAAAAGATAATCCTCCTCCCACTGGCCTTTATGTTATTTGGTTTAAGACAAAAGCAGCTTGTAATGATGTTTTGGCTTTGAATATCTACTACTTGGGTCCTAAACCAATTATTGTAAAAATCATTGTACGTAGAACAGGGCATTAACTATAGTGAAAAAATTAAGGTACCTATTTCGATTCAATTCCCGACTTAGTAGTTGAAATACTAGAAGTCAGACTCATTAAGTCGGATTGCTAATGTGATTGGTATGATTATTATGATAGATGAACTTACTTCCCCATGTGACGAAGTCCATTATGCTATGGTACTAATTGAAGTTGAGATCCAAGATGGTATTTCTAATATCATATTGTTTGAGGATGAAAATGAAATTTTTCAGGAGCAAAATGTTTTTTATGAATGGAAACTTATTAAATGTAGTTGTTATCCTAGATATAGACATAGTACCTCTCAGGTCGGAAGCAAAAACAAACTGCGGAGACAAATGATAACGCTCAGGTGACTCCAAGGAAAAAGATAAGGAAAGGAGGAAAAAAACGATGGTTCAGACTAATACGCAAAAATTGGACTTGAATGAAAAAAATGTGATTGAAATGCATCACAAAAAAAGGCATGTAGGTGATCTTCAAGTTGGAAGGCAACATGAAAAGATAGCTAGCATGCCTCAAGGGGGACTCTTTCAATTATTAAAAAGAGGAGAGACGTTATCAAGTAGTATCTTACACTAGAGTGAATGCAGTAGTGAAGGAGATAGAGAGAAAGAGAGAGAGAGAGATAGAGAGAGAGAGAAATAATACTCCCTCTAGTCCTTATCATACCGCATTTTAATTTGTCCTATATTTTACCTAATGTATGTTTTCAATTAGAAAAAAAAAACCCCCCTTAAGAATACATTTTCACATTCCTTGTACTCTCCTAAGTATTAGGAAATAATTTTTTAATATTTTTCAATTAAAAAAAAATATACTAGGTGAAATTTAGGACAAATCAAAATGCCTTTATAATAAGGGCCGGAGGAAGTATTCAGCTGGATCCTGGCCCGAGTGATCAATGAATAATTTTTTTAGATAGAATATCAGAAGCCTTAATGGCCCTGTAAAGCAACATGAACTTTATTGAATAGTCAATGATGTAAACTTGGTTTGTTAGATACTAAGTTGAATTCTGTAAAAGGTGAAGAGATAATGAAGAGAAGTTGGAGACAATGGCAACACATCATCAGTCTTGATTAGCGAAGTAAAGGAAGGGTGTGCTTAATATGGGAGAATACACTGACAATGCATATTTTGAATCATACTTATCAAATGATCCTTTGTCAGGTTTGCCAACTAAAGAGTGGAAATACATTCAACTTGACTAGGATCTATGCGTCCAATAACCCAATAAAAAAAGCTCTAAGAACAATTTGCAGATATCAAAATGATTATCAATAGTGCTTGGGTAGTCGCAGGTGATTTTAATAATATACTGACACCCAATGTGAAGCTTGGATGCAAAAAAGTGACACTAGTAGATTTTTTTTACAGAAAGTTTGCAATGATGCATGGAAGAGTGTGAACTACTTGATTTGAGACAACAAGGGCCAGCGTACAAATGGTCCAATAAATAAATGAGAATATTGGCGGATGCATCCTAATATTTATGGTCCAACTAAGTGACACTAGCATATCTATTTGTAGGTTGGCATTAGGCAGGAGCAGTGGCGGAACTAAGTATTCAATTCTGCAGGTGCTCCACTAAGTATAGGTCAACCGAATTTCTTTCTTTTTCTTTCAAGAAATTTGGATTTTAAAGCTTTTTTATTTTAATTTTTCTATTTCATTCCAAAACCTAACACAAAAATAGCTCAATCAAAACGTCACAAAATTTGTTCAAAAACACGAACATGAAAACATATAGTTTTGATCAAATGACCTAAAAAAAAAACGAAGAAAAATCCTTTGGTTGTTTTATCAATTTAAATAAATTGGCGAAGTGATCTTTTTTATTGGAAAATTCACTTTATCTTAAAATTAATAAGTAGATTCTAATTTTTGGTTAACTCTTTATTCATCATTTTAATCTTCGTGCCAAAAAATCTTTATTAAAAATGTTAAATGGTTTCATCAACAACGACGGTGGACAATATTGCTTTGTTATTCTGAAGATCTTTAGGGATTTAATAAATAAGTGGGTCAAATTTTGAAGGCATCAAAAGAAGTGGGGCTAAAATATTACAAAATTTTAATTCCAGCATCATCTTCTTCTTCGTTGAGTGATCGCACCACCGCCTCCGAGATCAAAATTCTGCAATTAATCTCCCGTTAAACTCCGCCTACTTTTTCTTTTCTTCCCCTAAGATTTAAGGCTATCTTTAGGCGCCAAGCATCACATCTGGAGGTGCTATTCATAAAAATTGGGGCTTGGATAGATTGGCCAGAAAAATTTCCGGCGAGCTGGAGGTGCTCCAGCCGATCCAAGCCCTAAGCTAGATCCGCCACTGGGCAGGAGTTTGTGAAAAATTAATTTTTGTAATTAGATATTTAAAGTTTATAATATTTAGGAAGTGCCTGGATGGATGGTATAAATCTCATTTTATGGGTTTGAATTCCAAATATGCTATTTTCTGCTGCTTGGTTAAAGATAGGGACCCACTTACACTACTTTCAAACTCAAAAAAGTGGTCATTTTCCATTCCCAATCAAAACGAGGGGAATGATAATTTACCATTGAACAAAATTTTTTTTCCTCTAGGCTGCCCCTTATTTCACTCTCTCTTTTCGACTTTTTTGGTTTTCCCCGCATATTCTCCATCTCCGTCATTAACGACACTTCAAGCTTCTCCACTTCACAATCAGCCTCACTCAAACAAATCTTGACTATCAAATTCATAAATATAATTAGGCGTTTCAACAATATTTTGTCGACTTATCACTCTTACAATAAAGACAAATAACCCTTCTAGCAATTATCATTTTTTTTTATCTCAATAGATTCAGAATAGCCAGAATTTCTTATGCCGCCGACCTCAATTATTGCACATAAAGGATAGTGGCCGTGACAATTCTCGACTCTGTACTTATTCAGAAGGTTAAGATATCTTCAATAAACACAGGGTGAATTGGACCAGGATATTTGATTTAGATTTGGTGTTATTATAATTTTTTTTGGGTGAAGACAAAGTGGTGGCAGCTGGAGCAACAAGGATGTGCAGTAAGAAGATTGGGGAAGGGTTTTGGTGGTGGTGTAAGGATAAAAATGTAATCTAATTTCTTAAGTCTCCACCGATGCTACCACTACATTTTTCTGTCTCTATCATGGAATTATGCATCGTTGAGTGGAAAGTATTAAGGATTCCTCCAGAAAGGACAATGCATGAGATTAGCACTGCAAATTAAATAAACAACAGGTACATTCACGAGCAACTCCTGGTGAACAGGTTTCCATCAATGTAGTGTTGATATAGATGTGACAGTTAGAGCATCGAAAGCTTTGTAGTATTTGGGAAGACTGAAAATTTTCCTAGTTTATCTTGTTGTGAGGAAGGTTTAGCTGTAGCAACTACCTTATAATCACACACTTTTGGGAAGCTATTGCAGCAGAATCAGTGTTTCAAGCGTCATTCGTCCCCGGAGAATCCTGAAAATTAATAGATGAACCTGATAAGGTTATAGCGATTCCGCAAAAACAACATACTCATTGAAACGTAGGTCAGGAAATCAAAAGTCTTATAGGATTTTTGCGGATTAATGTGCCCCCTTTTGTAATAATTCATCTGTCCCAAAATGGTTATCCTATTTTGATTTTTATTTTTTATATAATTTGAATTAAAAATAAAAATTTAAACTGGATAACCAATTCTGAACGGAAAGAGTATATAAATTAACATTCTCAAATGATTATAAACTCTTTCTCATCCAAAACTATATAGAGTCTTATTTGCTAAATTAACTGTACACAATCATGCAGAACTAGTCTCTCGGAGATAGATATACTACTACTTGAAATATGACTGTATAGAACAAGTACATGATACGATATCCTATGTATTAATTGTTAACCACAAGTTAAAAAACTCCTGTTTTTAAAGCAGCCATGAGCATCAATAGTAAATAACAATTTATATTTATATTTGGAGAAATTTTCTTCTTGATGAAAAGAGACTTACCCGACTCAATTGAAGATTTCTTTAGGTGTATTTGCTTTGAATTACCTCATAGTTCCTGAACCAAAAGAAAAAGAAAGATATGTCAAGCTTTTAAGTTCCAAATTAACTTCCGAAATTTTGAACCTCCCTTCCATAATAAGAATTAATTGTTTAAGATAATTTCACTGACACAATCAATCAGTATTAAACAACCCGTGTAAAAAGATTTCAACTTTAAACATTAAAACTACTGCTTTTCATTGACATTCCATCCAGAAAAAGCACATCAACACATGAAAGGGAAGAAAAAAAGAAAGAAAAGAAAACAGAAAAAGAAAACACCTAAAACAAGAATAAGTAGCAGAGAACATATTCGCTACCCTATTAAGAGTATCAAATCGGCACCGGAAAAAAATTGCATTGATTACTCTATGATCTATGATAAACAATAATGATGTGAAAACAGAAAAAGAAAAAAAATCACCTTGAATTAACAACAATATCAATACTGCCTCCTACAATCATATGTTTAGCTACTGTCGCCATACAATTGTTATTTTATTTTATTTTATTTTTTTTGGAAAATGAAAACTAATTGAGGAAGACAAGAAGAAAAGAAAAAAGAAAGTTAGTTTAGCAAACGATAATTTCATTGGGAAAGAAACATCGTTCTTCAGTAGAACAAAAAAAAAATTGTATATATCTATTGCAAAGTAAAAAAATGAAACATCACAGAAATATTTAGTTTGGGGCTTACTCTTTTGTTAGTTGTTGGCCGTCCAGATATATCCGTAGATCTTCATTTCCATAATCCATCTGCGTTTCATGAATTTCCTTTACCGAATCAAAGACACGTGGACAATCCTTGACCTCAATCATCTGAAGGGTTGAACGTTGGGCTATACAAGAAGGGATTTCCTTTAAGCAATTGCAGTATCCCAGTATCAATGTCTCAATAGATGGGAAGTCGTCATCCGAAGCCGTTGTCCATCTCTCCAAACTGGCCATGCCGTCTAATTCCAACACTCTGAGTTTGGGGAATGTGTCTTCTTCTTCAATGTCCCAATTTTCCCCCTTGTATTCATTCAAATCCAATTGGAGAGCTTCAAGATTTGGTAGCCTTCCAATAGCTGAAACTTCACTCCATGGAAGGCAAGTTGAACACAGACATAGATCCTTCAGATTCTGGGGAAATCGAAATTGAAAAAGGTTCCTCCCACGAGTAGTGATGAAGAGTGATTCGAGTTGATTCAAAGGGATGAAATCCACAGTGCACTCTCCTCCACCCAGATCGAGATGACAGACTAGTGTCCGGAGATTTGGTAACTTCTTCACTACTCCCACCATCGTTTGGCTGCAGGTGAATGTTACAGTCGAGAAAGTCTGCAAATTCTCCAAATTGGCTACGGGAATCTCTGATGGCAATACCCACTCCCGAGCTCCTTCCAGATGCCTTAATTTTTTCATACCCCAAAAAGTATCCGGCAACAAAACTCTGTCACCACCAACAATCAAAGTCTCCAAATCTGAGAGATTGAGAATTGACGATGGGATGATTATTTCTGAAGTAAAAGAAACTGCGAAATCCAAGTATTTCAACTGGACAAGTGGTAGAATCACACATGGGAATGTATCAAACTCAAATTCTCGGCTTAAGACCAAAACTCTTATAAGCTTGAACTGGAAAAACTTGTATAGAGATGTTGTTAGTGGATAGACTTTGGGTTTTGTAACAGACAACAGTGTGCGTAGACGAGGATAGAGGGACCTCGATTCTGAGAATTTCTCTGGTCCGCTGAAATCAATAGTTAACCTGTACGGCTGGCTAGCCTCAACACAACCATTAAGCTCCTGACCACGTAGCCGATGCATAAAGTGTTCTTCTTTGCTTCTTGCTATGGCGAAATCGCGTAGCAAGTCATGAAGGACACACCATCGTATCTGGCCTAGGAGATCTCTTCCAGCAACCATCACTAGATTTCTCTGTACCAACTCCATCATGTAACCCTTTGCAACATCCTCTAAGCACTCTCTTCCTGCAGTTTCCTGCACGAATCCTTCTGCAATCCATAGCCGTAAAATCTCGTGAACAGGTATTGATTCGTCCTCTTCAAACGCTCCCAGATAAAGAAAGCATGGTTTCAAATGGTTTGGCAAATGTCGATAACTCAACTCAAGAGTCTCCATGCACTGATCTGCAGCCATTGCACTACCTGTTTTTAGCATTTCTTCAACTTCTTCCCACTTACTTGGCTCTGTATTAGTGAGAAATCCTGCAACAATTAAAATCATCAGCGGCAATCCCTTGCAGGATTTTGCTATTGTCTTGGCACGAGCAATTACTTCTTCCGATGGACAACTTTGGTCAAAGCACATCTTCTTCCGAAATAACTCCCAACTCTCATCATCATTTAGTGCACGAAGACGGTGAGGTTCAGAGTGTGGATTGATTTCCAAACCAATAGTCTCCTGTCGACTGGTTAGGAGGATTCTGCTACCCTTATCATCGTCTGGGAATGACATTTTCAAACTATTCCATACTCGAGTATCCCAAATATCATCCAAGATCATAAGATATCTGATTCCCTTCAACCGTTTACGGAGTCTTTCAGCCAAATCATCTTCCCTCATATTTATATACGCTCCAGTTGAATTTTGGTCCAGACCGCTTAAAATCCCAATCAACAAACTTTTTGTGTTGTATTCTTGAGACACGGTGACCCAAGAGCGAACCTGGAAGTGATGAGAGATGTGGGAATGATGATCAACTTTCTTGGCCAAACTAGTTTTACCTAATCCGGCCATGCCCACAATCGAAACCACATTTAACTGTTTTGTCCCTCTAGTGAGTCTATCGATGATGATTTTTGCCTCGTCATCCAAGCCCACCACTCTCTCATTGGAATCTGGGATCTTACCAACTGCTGGTGCCATCTTAAGGTTAGCTTGACTAATCTTTTGAACTTCAATGGTTGGCTCCATACTCCAAGGAATCTCCGAGACCTGAGTCTTAATAAGCTCAATCTCTGTTATGATAACATCAAGCTGCACGATAAGGCTCGTCCGGAGTGGTTTACCAGCAACAACCAAAGAATCAAGTACAAACTCCGTGTCATAAGCTACCGCTGCAATGCGACTCGAGAGATCTTGGATCGTCATCCCATTATCATGGACTACAAAAGATCTTAAAACTGTAAGATCATCGTGGAGGGCTCGGAACTTATCCTTTTCTGAAGAAACTTGAATTACGAATGACTTTATTTTTTCCAAGACAGAGTCAATAAAACCCAACAAGTTTGTTTGGGGATATGCTGATGCTGGTGGAAACCTTGGCGCGTCTTCTTCTGCAGCCTTGAGAATTTGGAGTTTTGTCTCGAAATTGGAAAAAAGGAGCTCTAATTTTGCAACCAACCTTCCTCTTTGTTCTCCATTTTCTTGATAGAGATGAAAAATCATGATGCCTGCCTCACAAATCAAAGGTCTAATGAGGTCATCAAGCTTGTCATGGTGCTTTGATAGAGTGGTTCTCAAGAATGAGAGTCCCTCATGCACTTTATGCATTTCGTGGTGAAACATGTCCACAAAAATGCAATCACGGAAGAAAAGGTTCAAAATCAGAAAAATGAGAGAATCCACAAAGTCTCTAAACACCAATGCATGAGTTACTTTAGTGGGATGGAAGGAGGACCCTGAAAACTTTGAAACATCTTGCAAGACACCAACATAAATCTCACAAACACGCGACTCAACAGGCTGAATTTTTCTCAGAAGTTCACGATGAGAATCTGTTGAAAGATAACCTTCTTGAACCCAAGTACCAAAAAGTAGGACTGCAGATTGAATAAACACACGTTCAAAGTGAGTCAAGAGATCTCCGATGATCTGCCTATCCTCAAGTCCGTGAAGCGTAGCAAAGCGAATGAAGTTCTTCATGAACGTTACGGTTTCATGAAGAGTGTGAGATTCAAGACTCTGACAAGTGTGAAGAATGAAGTCGACGCTGTCCAGCAGTTGCTTCACTTCTGTTCGAGAAGAAGATCTTGTTTGCAACGTGAGATCTGTCCCCAACATTCTGACCAATTCCTCAATTCCTGGTTGCACCGATCCAATAATTCTCCGAAGAAAATCTTTAAGCACATCATCCCATCCCTCCGAATCATCATCCCATCTCTCATCAGAATCATCAACCCTCAGCAATTTCTCCTTGAACCGGAGACAAAGAAACAGAATTTCCAGGGAATGTCTGTGAAGAGACTCCTCCACTGTACACACTGCAGTTTCCCAGCCCACATCTTGTTCATCGCCCCACTTTCTTCCCCACAAATAAAACCATCTCCCCCATTCCAACAACTGCCGCAGATCATAAAGTTCCAAATCTGGGAATAAATCAGATAATTTTTGGCTGATGGACTGGAGCTCATCTAAGGCATCTTGAACAATAGACTCTGTGGAATACATCTCTGTAACTGCCAAAAAGAATTTGGTGAGAAAAGAACTTCAGCAGAATTTCCTTTTTTTTGGGGGGGGAAATGGGGAGATCTTCTCAAAAATGAAGAAACAAAGTTCAATTACACTTTGCATTTTTAATAATTTTGAGACGACAATATGTATGTACAGTTTTGCGAACTCACTTATTTGAGAAGGTAATACTCTTTTAAACTCATATATGGGACCTTGTAAAAATACAAGCCGGAGTTATATGTTTTAGAGAGATTGATATGCATTTCTTCTTTTTTTTTTGGTTCCTAATCGTGTAAATATTGCTAAAGCTCCATCAAACCTACAAACAGTAATCCTGTAGAACCTGAGCTAAGAAGCATAATTTTTTTTTTCAAAAAAAATAAAAAAAAGAAAAACAAAAGATTCGTACCTTTGTTGATAGAACTCTTAAGTGATTGTGATTGACCAAATCGCTAATCTTCTCCTTTTCGGCCTTCTAATTTCCAACGGAAACTTAATTGATCGGCCCCAAGATCTAAATAACTTCGCGGAAGTCAACGCAAATTCTCGATCCAATTAATTAAGAAAGTTTTTTCGAAAAAAAAAAAAACAAGGAATTCTTGGGGGTAGAGGGACTTGAGAGAAGAAAAAATATCAAAAGATAACTGGTCGTACTGAAACTTAAGACTTCAGATCATAACAGAGAGTTGAGAGATGAGGAAATGAAAATTTCAGAAGAGAAATGAAGTTCAGAGCAAACCGTGCTAGCTTCTGGGGCTGCTACTGTGCTTTGCTTTGAATAAAATTTAGGGGTAATACACGAGAACCCCCTGTGCTTTCTGAAACCGCACAAGAACCCCCCTATGGTTTTAAAAGCACACGACAACCCCCTCATGCTTTGCCGAAATGTGTTAAATGGACGGGAGTAGATGGAGCTAACTGACCTCTAGCGGAATCATCATAAATTATTTATTTGCCCTTGGATCTCAGAAAAAAAATTATTTGTCCCTTTCCATCTTTTATTTCTTTTTCTGACAATAATTTCAATTTCCATATCAATCTTTCATTTCTTTCTCTAATAATTAGTTTAATTTTCTGTTGCTTTGTTCTTTCTTGGGATATATCATATTTTCTTATATTTTTAATAACATACTATTATTATTTTTATTATATTCAAACCCAATTTATATTTCTTTTTTGAAGTAAAAGGCCACACTAATTCATCATCATCAACGTCGCCGAAACTCACCCACACTTATTCTCAGAAAAGCCATTACTAGCCCCCAAACCATTCTTGATAGTTCACTAACCAACAAAACAAAGAATACACCAAGAATAAAATTTAAATAAAGAAAGTCAGAAATATAAAAATGTTTGAAACCTCAATCCCTGATTTCCAACCCAATATACCACCCACGGCAAGTTCTCATCAAAAGAAAGTCTTATAAATTAGATCCAACATTTTTTTGGTGGCAATATTCAACCCAAAAGAAAATTTTAGTCGACAACATCGACGGAAAGAGAATGACAGACGTCGGCATTAAGAACTTAAGCGGTATTTAATTGGGTAAAAGAAGATGCCCGGCAGTAGTAAGATGAGGGAGGCTGCAGAATCGGGAGGCAAAAGAAAAAAACAAAAAAAAAAAAAAGAGAGAGAGAGAGAAGCCGACTGGAGAAGGGGGAAAAGATGAGAGTGGGGTGAATGAAGAAAAGAGCAGCGGCTGTAATGAATTTAATTAGGGTAAAACATAATAAACGTAGGAGGGTATTTTTGGGTAAATAAAAATATTTTAATTTTACTTTATTTTTTCCCCAACTAAACGCGCGTGAATTAAATCTTCCGTTACAATAAACAGTTTCCGTCCATTTAACACATTTCGGCAAAGCACGAGGGGATTGTCGTGTGCTTTTCAAACCATAAAGGGTTCTTGTGTGGTTTCAAAAAGCATGAGGGGTTCTTGTGTATTACCCTTAAAATTTATTAACAAGACTTATGAAGACAGAACATTAATTAATTAATTTAAATTACAATACTTACTATTAGATTATTAACAATAAGGGAGACTTGTCCAAACTTGTCCAAAAGTAGTTGCTTTACATGAAACTAGATGCTTGGCCCGGGCTGGTGTCCGGGCGCCCCCTTCTACTTCAATTTTGTGTTAATAGATAAATGAATTACTGATTTTTTTAAAAAAAAAATTATAGCTGCACATTTGCACAGCTATCGTAAGAGTCTTGCACTAAAACTTCAGTCATCAAAGATGGTACCTGTATTTAGTGAAAAGTACCTATGCTATTACAAAGCAGTCAATTTAAACTCCGCTCTATCCTTCTATAACCCGAAGCGAAAATGATACGCAAATGAAAGTAAAGCCTAATCCGTTCAGCTGCTATATCGTCTTGAACATTATCTTTTCTGTCTTCTCGAAATTTGCATGTGTAACCTTCATACCTCACTCCCTTAAAGCCAACAATCCAGCTTCCAAAATATATCATATATGGTCTTCGAATCAACTATAGGGAACTCGTCTATATCAGCCAATATCATCATGAATTAGTGGATCTACAACAGTGACGAAAATGTCAATAGCATATTCATTGGATATTGCCAAAATTTATGCAGCAACCCAGATTTGTAGTACTCTCCCACATGTTACTCCATGAACCTATAATATATACATACCTAAAATTGGCACCTCCCTGTCTTAGTATATGAGAAGAACTCATTTTTACGGTCAATTCTACTACACCGTAGATACACGGTGTCAAGAATTTCAGTTTGTTAATTGTGACAATCACTTTCACATTTTCTCGAGTTAAACCCGGTAGATTATAAGTCCATCAAGACTCAACATGTTTTTATTTGTATCTCAACCAAGCAAAGACAGAAAATATTGCAAAATATAATGGATTCAACCACAGTTAAGACACTTTTCAGGAAGAAAAATAGTCAACATAATCAAGCATCTATTTGTTTTGCAACAATTAACATGAAGAGGATTCCCTGCAGTACTCTTGCAGCATTTCTTTTTGTAGCTTATTCATCGTTCTTGTGTCGTTTTTCATCTAGTCCTAACAATATATTTGGCCCCTCTGACATGATAAAAGAAAAATTACACAAATAAATGATGAAGTCCAAGCAATCACATATTTGAATGACCCCTGTGACATGATAAAAGAACAATCACATAAACAACGGAATTCAAATAAGTACTGAATTAAGAGGAGAACGTTACCTAGGATGAGTTTTTAGGAAATCCAATAGCTCCGACTGGAGAACGTGACCGTCAGGATACGCAGAGAAAGAGAATATAAGAAGTATTTATTAACTCCTTTATGTCCTAATCAAGATATTTGCCTATTTGGTGCCAAATAATGGAATCTACTACCTGAATCAGGTCATATGCAACTGAAGGTGATATATCAACGGATTTTTTATAACATTCATAAGCTGCAGTCATATTATCATTTGTCTCATGCTCCATCATAGGAGAAATGTAATAGATCCTTGATTGGTCTGAATAATGTGAAAACTTCAAGAAAGAATCTACTTCAATAAAGATATGAACTTTATAAGATAATCATAATCAAATTATTCTCTTGTTATCAAAACAAACATGAAAAAAATGGAAAGAAGATAATAAACTTGAATCAAGCTTCCAACGAAAGGCTTTAACATATCAAAGAGACAAAAACAAAAATGAAAGTACAGACTTTGTGAATTGAAAGTTACCTTAAAATAGTGCATCGGCAAGTTCAGCAAGATAAGCCTGCAGAAGGCTAAGACCAACGGATCAAACAGTAAAGTAAGAGCATTTGCAGCATTGGATTCCTCAAGGAAGACCTCATTTGACAAATTCAAATACTCCAATAACTGTTCATATTGTGATGATCAGGATTCATCCACTGAGTCATCTGTCAATTCAATGCATCCAAAAGAAGAAGGTGGTGATGATCCTTTGGGAAAAGATACAATTCGAACTGTTCCACCATATCTCCAAACTCCCAACTCCACCCGCTTGTTTCCACTCGTAATGACCTTCCAATCATAGAATGCAATCTATAACCTTCCCTGATGAACCTCCTTGGTAAAATTACAACACAAAAACAAATTAAAGAATGGCCTCAAACACCATCCATACATCACTTTCTTCATATCTCTAAAAATTATCCCTCACTTCATGCTAATATTAACCCTTAATATCTAAAGCAAAATTCCAAATGGAGAACCTTTTCAAGATCAGAGGCTTCAAAAGTCAAAAGCTTCATGTCTCCAACAGCCACAACAAAGTTCCTGATGTTCTCAAAATACTGAATAGCAGACTGACCTGCTCCCTCTGTGAATTCCTCATCCATCACCCCGGGTTTCAACCACCTAATTCAATCATTCAATACAAAAATTTAACTTTCATCACCTATCTATAACATCAGTATATGGTAATCTCACATAAAAAAAAAAAGAAAAAGAAAAAAAAGGGCCACTTTCATATCTGAAAAACTGCACTTTTCTTGGCTTTTTTCAACCAACAATAATATTATAAAGGTAATACCTTGTGAGCAGCTCCAGGATTGACTTTGTTGAGGACATTACAGAGAATAAGGCCATTGCGGAGTGCTAGACAAAATTCTGCTTCTGCGGGTTCTTTTGGTAGTACTTCTGATGCACCTTTGTCCATTTTCCTTAGCCATGCCGATGCTTCGCATCTCTTCGCAGCTGCAAATCAATTCAATTCACCCAAAATTACAAAAGCCCATGAATCATCATCAACAAAGTTCAAAACTTTTTGGCATTTTTTGGGCTAATATTTAGTTTTTGCTATTTCGTGCCAGCTAAATTTAGAAGCTCCCTCCTATGGTGCTCGTCTCTGGGATCCACCAAATTCACTAATTGAAGGGATCTTTTCGAAGTGTTACCAAAAAGTCAGATTGAATCAAAAATCAAAACAAAACAACCAATGCTAATGGATGAACTACCACACTGTTAAATGTAAAATCAACTCAGGCAAAAATCCCACACTGTTAACCCTTGACGGCAGATTGTGATTTGCATCAACATCTTGATTTGGGTTGCGAATAAATTTTATGATTACATGCCCCTGTAGAAATCTTCCTCAACTATCAATCTTTGTCAAGATTTGATTTTCTTTTCAATAATTTCTAGAAAAGGGGCAGAAAATTACCATACCACTCAGAAGTCATTGACTTAACGATGGATGAAATCCTAGTGTCCGCTTAGTCTTCTCTTCTCACGGGTGTCGCCGCTGGAATCCCGTTGTTGTGTCATCACCGTAGTAATTTTTTTTTTCCAATTCATCAGAACACATTCTTGATTCCGCTTTCATCGACCATCCAAGAGGCAGAAGTTTCAATCTCAACAACTTAAAGCTTGTAAATAAATGAAATCCAAACAAATCGGATTGTGATAATTTACTTACAGTAATGGAGATGAATGGCTCCTTTTAGTCCTCTCATCGTTGGTTTCTATCTCGATCCGTCGTCCTCCGGCCCTTCGTCCACCGATTGTGCACCAATGATTGACAGAAGCAACCGACAGCAGCAGCAGTGCAGTGGACCGTTGGAATTTTGATGAATTTTGTTCTTGAAAGGAGGAATTAGCTACAGAGAGCATATTGGATTTTTATTCTTTTGAAAATTGAATTTGATTATGAATGGTGGATTTAATTTGAGAAGATAATTAGTTAGAGTGATTTGTGGAAAGTCGGTGAATACACACTGCTGAAATTGGGGAGTAGTTATTACTGATTTCCTTAATCCTAGTCGATAAATTTGATTTACATAATTGTGAAATCTTTTTTTTTAATGAAAAACAGGACACGTGGCATCTTTTTTTTTTGCAAAAGATGTATTTTTTTGGTTTAGGCGGGAAAAAAACTTATGTGAAGCTGACACGTGTCCTAAGTGTCATTTACTTTCATGAAGTGTAAATGATTGATATAATAATGCAACTAATAATAAAGTAATAATACAATAATTACATCTTAAAAAATTCAACAAAGTCTCTTTAAATTGCAAAAGAATCTTTGCCTTAGCAGCAGTGAGATCTGAACTCAAAACTCGAGCCAATTTACAGTGTTGCTTCTATTTTTTTTTCTTTTTTGGAAATCACAGACTCCAAAAAACTCTTTATTTCAATTTTATTTATTTATTTGTTTAGTTATTAGTATTTTATTTTATTTTTTGGTACAAACATTAACTCAAGACTCAAGGTTGTTGTTTTCGTGTTTGCAAAACTTTTTAGGGCAAAACTCAGCATTGGTTTCCAAACTTTAGGGGTAGCTCAGGTGAGTCATCAAAAAATTTTCTTCAACGGTTTTAATCACTATCTTTAGTTTTATTCAACACTATGGTCCATTTGAAGGGAGAATACATTAATTTAACGGTGAATGATCAAAATCCGTTAATTGTTCAATATATTATTAATTTTTCACTGATGTGGGTCCCATGATTTTTTTACTTGTATTTATAATTGTTAAAAAAATAGAAACTCAAAACAAATAAGTCAAAGAAAAAAAAAAAAAAAAACCTTCCCTTTCAACTCCCCCTACCCTGCGCCGGCACCGGCACCGCCACCACCACCCAGTTGTTCATCCTCCCCTCCCACCTTCTCCATTTCTTCCCTTTTAATTCATCTCCCATTATCCACATACAATTTCCATCCGATTTAAAAAATCCTCTTGTTTCATGATTTCAAGCAGGAATGCCTCTAAAGATCCACCATAAACGGGTCTAAGTTGAGCCATAGTTCTTTTCACAAATTGATTTCCTTCTTTGGCTACAAATTTACTGCTGTCAATTTGAATTCCTCACATCTTAATATTGGAGCAGGGAAAGGAATAATAATTCATTAATTTGGGTTCTCTTTCTTCTTCATGGAATACTAAGGGGGAGGGGGGGAGGGGAAGAAAGATGGTGGCAACTGGTGGAATGGTTGAGGAATCATTTGGTTTGGGTTCGCCATGATTCTGAGGTGTATAAATTACTGAGTTTTTTTTTTTTTTATTTCTTGAAATTCGATTTCTTTTGATTGGATTTGAATAAGGACATTGATGTCTGAATTTCTTAGCTAGAGATTGAATTTTTGTAACGCAATTTGAGTTGTTTGGTAATAAGGAGATTTGACTTGTTTGATTTTTTCTTCTATCCCAGCCAAGATCATCACCAATTTGCAGAATATTCCTACCATGTTGATTCCCCATGGTAGCAGTATCCATAACAAGAAACAACAACAGATATTGCATAGAGAATTTCATGATCAATTGGCTATACTTCTGCATCAAATGCGATGCTTTGCTAGTGGAAAGATCGTTGAATATATTGTATAAGGATGAACTGGTGGGTGGTGGTGGTGGTGCCGACGGTGGGGTATGAGGAAGAGGAAGACGAAAGGGCGAGCTGTCGGTGGTGGTTTGGGCTTTGGAGGAACAACTCTAAATAAATAAATAAATAAAATATTAGCAGGTCCTATTATCGATGAAATATTAATAAAATATTAAATAGTTGACGGATTTTCAAATTTACCGTTAAAGTTAATGAATTTTCTGTCAAATATACATAGCTGTTGAATAAACTTAAACTTGAGGACTAAAATCGTTGAGAAAAATTTTATGGTGACCGACCTGAGTTACCCCCCAAACTTTGGGGACCAATACTGAGTTTTGCCCAACTTTTTGAGTACATACAGCTAAATCAATCGTAAAGGGAATTGACAGAAGCAAGTAATAAAAATTGATTCTTTCTTTCAAAAATAGTTCTATACCTTATGATACATTTTAAAGGCAAAACAATCAATAAATATCAATATAATTAATTTCGATCATCTTGAATGATTTCGATTATTTTCATTCCTTCAAAAATTTAATTAATTCAATCTTGGGACTTCAAGCAACAAATAAGCCACAATATTGAACAGATTCATGCCGCAATAAGCGGCAGATATCTTTCACTGTGGATTATAATTCTAGGAGTTGTTGACTAACAGAGTAGAAATTTGTTATATTCTGGACTGGAGTCATTGTATCGGCTCTCCAATCATCTGCTGTGAATCTAGGAAAACGAAAAGTTTGATTTTGTGATAGTTGTAGAGAAAGAGACGGACAAGCAGATGTTTGAATTAATTGGACCATTCACTGGTAATATGGAAAAAAATAATACTGTAATTTTTTGCTCCGGATCCTAATTTATGTCCTGGCAAAATCACTGGTCAAAATTTATATAGATGTTTGGGAAACGTTTAGGATTATGGTCTAAAAGATCCTTAGACTATTGGAAGATTCAAATTGTTGAATCAGGATAATATTAAATTGCTTTTCATTTTCTAATAGAACATTATGAATGGAACATTATACTTTTTGGATTAAAGAATGCACATTCAAAATTTTTATTTTTATTTTTATTAGTATTACTACTCAGAGAGGCATCCTTTAGATTGTGACGGATGATCTTCATGAACTTTAGGATTAGAATGTATTGATTTCCGATTTTTGTCCGGCAAAAGAAAGGACCAGCTGAAGATGAAATACAAGTTTGTATATACTCGCATAGTTGGGACAATTGGTTACTTTGACTCAAAATATCTTAGTATAAGCGATTTATTTTTTGTCCCATTCGATTTCTTATGTTCTTCAGAGAACTTTTTTTTTTGAAAGTGAATTTTTTTTTCCTTTTTCTGGTCATGACAATATAATCTAGTGAAGCAGCCTTTATTCTCTCCACTATTTAGAGTTGGTTGTGTGTGTATATGGTTCATAACTCCAAATTCACCAAGCTTGTACAATTTTTTGACTTGTTTCATGTTTCTTGTAGGTCGTTTGACGCCTAAAAGTTATTTTTACAGCTATGGTGTTGTCCCTAGTCTATTGGGCAATGGCCTTAACCTAGCACAAGAAGAAACTGGTTAGCATTGTAGATCCAAGATTAGAAGCAGTGCCGAAGAGAATTAATTAATATTTCAACGGTATTTGATAATTTTTTTTTTCAATTATTAAAAACATGTTTTATGTAAATCATGCAGCACAATAAAGTTTTTGCAAGTTTTTCACTCTGATTAAGTAGTTATAATTTTAAAAAATCAATTTTTAATTAACCAATATAATTTTTTTTAATAAAGAGAAGTAGATTTGTAGTGCATTTTTAACCTCGATAAGTCATAATGGGCCGATTTATTAATGAAGACTAAACTCCCCCGCAGCCCAAGCCCATATCCTTTCCTCCTTTCAACATCATTCTGCTTCTGCTCTCCCCATTCTCTACCCTCCTCCGCCGCCGGAAACTTTTATTTCATTCAACTCTAAATTTCACGTTCTCATTATTTGGAAAACTAGGCTGAAATCATTATATGTGAGGTAGAGCATCTTAAATAATGCTAACGAATAGAAATCAAAGCACATGGTTGTATATAGATCACCTAATCAAAAAAAAATTCCGGCATCAATACCCTCTAGTTTGGCATCATAGCACATGGTTGTATATAGATCACCTAACGTTTTGTTCCAGGAATTAAATATGATTGTGTTTGTAGGATATTTAAAATGCTAAAAGCAAAATGACAAATGTTACTGAAAGATTCAAGTAGTAGCTATTTGTTACTTTCCTCATTGTTAATCGATTGTGGGATGCAAGTACAATTAGATTTATTCGGACACCCAAGGAATTTACACTAATATTTAATATTAATCTATCTAGCTTTATGTGCATAATATTCTGTAACTTCAAATTCAATTGATCAGTTAATTTATCGATAAAGTTACTTGATGTTTTACTTATATATATGTATATGTTTATTTATTTATTTATGTATCAAATGAAAACTATTATCAAATAAGGAGTTAGTTTTTCTTCATAGGTATAATTTTTGAAGCTTCAATATTCATTCCTATACATAAAGTAAATTGTAGTAAACTCACGAATGACCGTATTCCAAAAGCTGATCAAGAGTTTAGTAATATACAATAAAAAAGAAAATCAGCAGCAAGAGAATTAAACATATTTGTAGGAAAGATGCGTGGACTACCATGAGGCAATTTATTGCAGCTTGTGTTCTTAGGAACGAGCACTTCAATCGCTATTTCATTAAAAAAGAAAAAAAAATCGTCTTGAATTATATCAATCCATCCACAGGGACCATTGAATAACGTCCAAGAATCTACCGTCTAGTTTTCTTTATAAGTTTTTTTTTTTTTTTTAAGTTCATTTGTTGGATGTAGAAGTAAGACTAATTAAGTTTTGGAACAGAAATATACTTTCATAGGAACGTTTCAAAGCATGATGATATTTCCTATTTCGTCATTATTTGGAGTAGAAACAAAATGTATTCTTAAATTCTTATTTCGAATCTTTAGTCCACAAAAAATATCAATTCTTTGGTAAAATTTATTTGTTTGAAATGTTGTTCTAAATAGTTACCAGTAAATTAAAAAAATGTTTTACGAAAATGTTTATTCCAAGAAATTCAATCATATGATCTTAAAAAGATTAATGTTTTTCCTCCACACGAGGTTTTTTATTTCTCAATCCAGCACATCCAATATCACCTATTACTCTTAGAGAAGGCACCCCATGCATGTGGCATCTCTCAAATTCTCTGTAATTATATAACCTATGAATTAGTATGTTGTGCTTCCTCATGCTAGACCCGGGTTCAATTCCCATTAAAGGATTTGTAAGAGGGCTTTTACCCACATTTAAATGGAGTCCATTGAGGTGGATCTTTTTTTAAAAAAAAACATATGTATTAGTATTGCTTAAGTTTTTTTTCTTTTGTTTTTTTTTTTAAGTAGTGAAAACTACTTTATTTTCCAAACATATGGAAACTGACTTTGATCCAATACAACTAGACCTTTTATACGATTAAGCAAGTCATCATGAGAATATTGTGTAGTGGTTCAGAGCGAACTTGCGAGTTTAGCGAGATCATTTGCTACTCTGTTCGTTTCTCTATACACATGCCGAACGGTGACTTGCATATTTTGTGCCAAAAGCCATATTTTTTTTGAGAGAATGCTTTGATCGCCATGGCCAACTTGTTGGATTCGCTAAGATGTTGACTAGAGTTTTCGAATCCGTTTCTGCTTCAATTTGAGTAAATCTAAGGCTTTGGCAAAGTTGCATACCTCTCACGAGAGATTCAACTTCAGCTTGAAAATTAGAGGCAGTGCCAATAAATTTTGCTTCAGTTAGAATAACTTTTCCTTGCATGTCTCTGATTACTACTCCACAGCCTGCATCACCTGGATTGCCAATTGAGGACCCATCAACGTTGATCTTTATTCCATTAGTTGGAAGGGTCCAAGTCAAAAATAATGGGGTACTCTTTCTTGCTTCTTTTGCAAAAGGAATGAGTCCTGCAGTTACAAAGCTTGAATCCTTGGCTGAGGATGCTTTAAAAGGCACCGCTTTTGCCATAATGTGTAGATCTTGGACAATAAGCCTCACTGCAATGTGTGGAGAGATTATTGTTGACTCAAAAATTGCTTTAGTCCTACATTTCCACAGCTGCCAACAAATGAGAGAGGGGAGGAGAATCTGTAGCTTCCAAGTCAGCTTTGAAGATTGTCTTCTTGTCCACCATGTAGATGAAAGATCATCAAAATCCAAAATTTCATTGTTTGCAAAGACCATAATCGCTCCAAAATGTCTCCAATGTTTAGCATAAGAAAATTCAAAGAAGTTATGCCGAATGCTTTCAACATGATTCCTGCATAAAGAACACACAGAGGGAATATTCAGTCCTGTTTTCATTAAAACATCAGCAAAAGGAAGTAACTTGTTGTGCAATCGCCACATGAAGATCGAAATCTTCAGCTGAAGCCTTTTGTCCCATATATAAGTGCATTGTTGGGATGATTCTTGTCTTTTCTGCAGGTGATTAAATGCTGATTTGAGAGAGAATTTTCCAAGAGTATCATTCTGCCAAATCCAGTCATCAGCTTCATTTGATAGTGTAACATCTTTACTCTCTATTTCATTGATGTCATCCTGGAGTAGAATTCCTTGTAGTGAGTCCAGATTCCAAGCTTCATTATCAATCAAGTCTCTAACCAGCACATTAGAATTATTCCCAAGTTCTTCATCATATTTAACAGAAAGGCAACTGTGCCAAGCCATCATCCTTCCAAAATTTGCATCACCATTTTTATCTCAACAAAGGTGTTGTTTCTCATGTATTTTTCCCATGGCTTCAACCTGGAGTGAAAAACCGAGGAATCAATTCCTTTCTTCCTCTTGTTAATAAAGGATGCCCAAATACCCGTTTTTGACAAGAGCTTCCACCACATTTTGCATGAAAAAAGCATCAAGCACATCACTAAGAGACCAAGTGCCAAGTCCATTTTCTTTCGTAGGATATGCCATCTTTTCCCAGCTGCGCCAAATTCTTTGTTGTTGTCCATCAGCCACGCCCCAAAAAAATTTTGACAATCGACCCTCTATTCATTTAAGGATGGCTTTGGGCGGATTCAAAGCTGAAAAAACATATGGCATATATGAGGATAACACATGTTTAATTAGAATTAACTTACCTCCGGGGGGCAAAACTCTGCTTTTCCAACCAGATATCTTAGCATCAATTTTGGACAAGAGACCATTAAAGTATTCCTTTTTGCATCTTCCCTTAAATAGAGTACCCCCAAGATAGTTGAGAGGGAAACTACCACAGGAGATTCCAGTAATGGCAGAGACAACAGCAATGTTTTCTTGAGAAGCTTTCTTGGAAATTATGAAGGTGCTTTTGGATTTGTTAATTTTCTGTCCTGTGCTTTCTTCATATAGTTTGAGGAAGTCCATAAGACTTTTCAATGAATTACGATTAGCTTTCACGAATATCACCAAATCAACGGCAAAACTTAAAAGACTGATGGACATAGATGATCTCAAAGAGTGATATGGTTGAATAAATCCTGCATCAATGATAGCATGAAGACCTCTAGGGAAGGCCTCAGTGAGTAAGATAAACAAGTAGGAGGACAGAGGATCCCCTTCCTTGAGGCCCCCAGATGGTTTAAAGAATTGAGATGGCTTACCATTGATGAGAACAGAATTCCAACAACTTGTAAGATTATTCATGATTAAATTAATGAATCTACCATGAAAACCAAGTTTTGCAAGAAGTAGACTTATAAAATGCCATGACACTCTGTCGAATGCTTTCATCATATCAAATTTGAAAAATATATTATCACCTCTAGTTTTTTTGTCAATGGACTGTCCTAGTTCTTGAGCCAGCAAAAGATTGTCAGAGATATCTCTATCCGGTAAAAATGCCGATTGTTCTTCAGAAATTAAAGTTTTCAAAAGAGGCTTCACCCTATCAGCAATGATTTTGGTAAAGATTTTATTTACAAAAGTACATAAACTAATAGGTCTTTAATCTGAGAAAGTAGAAGGGCTAGTAACCTTAGGGATCAAAGCTACAAATGTACTAGAAAAATACCTGGGTATTGGAAATCCCACAAAAAGTTCTTGAACAGCTTTGAATACATCACTTCCCACGATTTCTCTACAATGCTGAAAAAATACTCCAGAGAATCCATCATTTCCGGCTGCACTTTCTCCGCTTAAGTCAAAAACAGCTTTATGAACCTCTTCGAAAGTGACAGGTCGAAGTAAAGTCATATTTTGGTCTGGGGTCACTAGTTCAGGAACGGTGGACAAGAGTAATTTCAATGATTCCTCATTTGTGTCCCCTTAATCGGTGAGCAGCTCTTGGAAGAAAATAGAAGCATGAGAAGCAATGTCCTCTAGAGAAGATATCAAGTTACCAAGAGGGGTTTTGATTTTACTGATTCTCATTCGTGTTCTTCTCTCCATAACAGTCAAGTGAAAGAACTTGGTATTAGCATCGCCTTCTTTAATCCATTTTATTCTGGCTTTCTGTCACCAAAAGCACTCTTCCTCAGCTAATCGTAAAGAGTGGTGATCTTGAGCAGCATTTAGTAATGAGAGGTTCTCATCAGTTGGATGATGATCATAATGTACAGTTAGCGAGATTGATTTCAGCTTCCCTAGCATTCTTGTGGACATTGCCAAAGACATTTTTATTTCAAGAAGAAAGACTGATTCTTAGTCTCTTTAGTTTCTTCCAAAGAGCAAATATCCCATATCCTTGGATAGGTTTCGACCAACAATTCTGGACAATTGTCAGGAAGTCTTCCCTTTTGGTCCACATATTCTGGAATCTAAAAGCTTTAGGGCCATTTGACGCGAGCTCAGAAAGTTCATAAAGAAGTGGATTGTGGACAGATGGGCTTCTTGCTAATTTTTGAAGAGTTGATTGTTGAAAAGTGTGAAGCCAAGATGGATTGCAAAGAATTCTGTCAAGCCATTTCCACTATATTCTTGTAATCTAATTCTTGTAATCTAATTCTTCTTCGTTGAGTGATCGCACCACCGCCTCCGAGATCAAAATTCTGCAATTAATCTCCTGTTAAACTCCGCCTACTTTTTCTTTTCTTCCCCTAAGATTTAAGGCTATCTTTAGGCGCCAAGCATCACATCTGGAGGTGCTATTCATAAAAATTGGGGCTTGGATAGATTGGCCAGAAAAATTTCCGGCGAGCTGGAGGTGCTCCAGCCTATCCAAGCCCTAAGCTAGATCCGCCACTGGGCAGGAGTTTGTGAAAAATTAATTTTTGTAATTAGATATTTAAAGTTTATAATATTTAGGAAGTGCCTGGATGGATGGTATGAATCTCATTCTATGGGTTTGAATTCCAAATATGTTATTTTCTGCTGCTTGGTTAAAAATAGGGACCCACTTACACTACTTTCAAACTCAAAAAAGTGGTCATTTTCCATTCCCAATCAAAACGAGGGGAATGATAATTTACCATTGAACAAAATTTTTTTTCCTCTAGGCTACCCCTTATTTCGCTCTCTCTTTTCGACTTTTTCGGTTTTCCCCGCATATTCTTCATCTCCGTCATTAACGATACTTCAAGCTTCTCCACTTCACAATCAACCTCACTCAAACAAATCTTGACTATCAAATTCATAAATATAATTAGGCGTTTCAACAATATTTTGTCCACTTATCACTCTTACAATAAAGACAAATAACCCTTCTAGCAATTATCATTTTTTTTTTTATCTCAATAGATTCAGAATAGCCAGAATTTCTTATGCCGCCGACCTCAATTATTGCACATAAAGGATATTGGCCGTGACAATTCTCGACTCTGTACTTATTCAGAAACTTCAAAATTGTTCAATTCAGCTAAAAATTACTACGCTTCGATGAATATCAAGAAAATCCATTAGAGAGAGAAGGTTAAGATATCTTTAATAAACACAGGGTGAATTGGACCAGGATGTTTGATTTGGATTTGGTGTTATTATAATTTTTTTTGGGTGAAGACAAAGTGGTGGCGACTGGAGCAACAAGGATGTGCAGTAAGAAAATTGGGGAAGGGTTTTGGTGGTGGTGTAAGGATAAAAATGTAATCTTATAACAATTCCTATTTTAGTATGTACTTGAACCAATCGGCTGAATGAAAGCTAGAGTTTTTTATAGTCTTCACTATCAATCCGCAAGACTATGAATGACATTCCCAACCCCATACTAAATTTTGAACCAGGCGCCTCCTTAATTTCATCATAGGTTTTTCCGTTGTCTCTATCATCGAAATTTATGAAGTTGTAAAATAGTACTCCCTCCATTTCAATTTGTAGGTCGTTTTACGTTTGGAGAGATTTTTCAAAATGTAAGTCGTTTTATAAATTTTAGGCAAATTAATGATTATTTTTCCAACTTTACCCTCAATAGATGATAAGAACCTATTTTTATTTAATCTTATTTATAGTTTCAATGTAATTAATGAGAACTAAAACAGATATTTAACATATAAATTAATTGTTGGATAATTGCTTCTTTAGTTTACGTACAAAGTCTAAAGTGGCTTATATTTCGAAATGGAGGGAATATTCATTTGTCAGATTTCCACAAGACTGCAACCTTAATTTATGTATTGTAATTAACAAGGAGTACAAATAATTTCAAAAATCAAATACACCAAAACAAACACAAAGTGGAAGTGTGGAACATTAAAAATTTGACAGCTTCGTTTTGCTGCGGTCATCAATCATCAATATTGTTTGTTGTACCCACTATCCGACACGCATGGTGGATACATTTTGATTACAAACTTGTATTTTACTTCTAATCAATTTTATCGAGAACCCAAAAGCGTCATGCTGTATTTTCATAAGACCTCAATTTCAACTTTTTCTTCAGCATCCATTTCCAATTCTACAAATGCAGATATTAGATACTCACTAATTTTGTCTTTCAAATCTTAAAGAGTTTAAGACTTATACTTGGTGATTTGTCTCTGTTTGGTTTGTTTTTTTTTTTAATGGTGTTTTCACAATTATTAATTAATATTTGTTCTATCCCAACATATCTTTTTACATTGCTAATAAAAAAAACACCTTAAAGCACATATTAAAAAAACAATCTAAATATATTTCTTCTTTTTGTACCAGTTGAAAATAAGATGAGAGTGAATGAAATAGAGAAATCATTATATAATATATTCCGCTCTGCTATAAGTAAAACTGTATTGAGTGCATTTGCTATGGTTTTAGACTTAGTTTAGTATAACAAAGTAAATTGAAATGTGAAAGGTCGAAATTAAAGGAGTCTATTTTTCACGCAAACAGTATAAAAAATGTGGGACATAAACTGGAAATATTGCCCACCGAAGAAGGCGTTTTTCGTGACCGGACATTTGAGTTTATGGTTAAGATTCCCAAGACCATATACGTGGAAAAGGTGGGAATTTCGTACCAAGAAAATAGTAACCCGAAAAAGCAAATACGGGGGAATAACAAGAAAAGAAAAGAAAAGAAAAAATGACAATTTGAAGTGGAAATGCTTGGTGTCAATTGTGGAATGGACCAAACAAATGCATTAGATTGGCCTTTCAGTTCCTATTGAGCAAATAATAAATAGAGAAAAGGAGCTGCATGGGAACTCATTGTTCTCATCGAGTTCTATATACTTCCTCCGTCCCATAATTATTGTCCAGTTTGAGTTTTCATTTCTAATTTAAATTGTACTAAAAGTGAAATTTCAAAGTGAACAATAATTTTGGGACAGAGGGAATATATGATAATAATTAGGCCGATTCTCCACTAAATTTCAGCAAGACAATTGATGTGGACACTTGTGGTGATGAAGAATTTGTAATTCACACACAAAAAGAAACATAAACTCGTATATAACTCTAAAAGAATCTTCTTGTCCATTTTCTAAAAAGTAATGGCCATGATTAAAAAAAGCAAAAAAAAACTACAATAATTCTTCAAGATTTGTATATCGCATTATTGTTTTTTCATACTCTAACTTTGGACATCCAGCAAAATTTAAATATTGGTAAAAAATGAGAATTTAAATAGATGTTTGACTTTCAAAAAGAAAAATTATAATATCTATCCGCGTGGAATAACTATACTATGCCACGAATAACCATGTACATCTAAGTTAACATAAACCTGATGTTTTGGTCCTTTTTGTAATAAAATCAAACATTTAATTCATTTGATTAAGTTGGCCCGGTCCCAGAAGAAGCTACATTGAGGAACGTCTTGATGATTTCTCTGCATGCTTGAATGGGAGGGGGTATCTCAAGTACCTTTCTTTCAGTAAAGGGTAATAAAATGAGACAAAGTAAAAGGATGTACATACAATAAAATTGCTCATCTTCATGTGCCAGAATGTGTAATACCGAAAACTCTATGGAGAGGGTGATTTTTTTTTTTTTTATAAGTTTGCATTTATATAAAAAAAAAATTATGATTAGTGGCATATTATCATGAAGTCCTTGATTAAATTTCGTTAAGTTCAACCGAATAAAATCAATCAATTTAAGAAATAAATATGCCACTATTTTGTCAATAGGTTTGTTAGCATATTTTCGTCATATTCATTAATTAATGAAATGGAAATAGACAAAATGGTTGGACCAACTGGAAGCAATAATGCACCATTTTCACCCCCATGCAGGTTTACTTGTGTTATACTACTATCTATCCTCTCCTATTCAAAATCACTTTTATCGTACAAATTTAATTCAACAAATAAAACCGTTATGTTTTTTGATACATTACATGATGATGCATAGTATCTTGCGCTGTTGCACTCTTTCGTTGTATTTGAGGGAAGAAAACAAAGGAATATTTACGAGACTATGACTACCAAAAAGTAGAGATGAAAATGGCCAAAAAAAAAAAATTACAAAAAGAAAAAGAATCAAAATGAAAGGACACAATCTCTTCACAAAATTTCATCAAATTCCCTATTCGAAACTGTACACCTAAAAGATCTATTACATCTATCAATCTGAAAGCGCCACTAAGTGAGGAGAAATATAAATTGAACAAAACTTAAACCACAAAAGTATATTTCAAAAAAAAAAAAAAAAAAAGAAGAAGAAGAAAAGGGCATGTAACAATAATTATATAGATTTAAACTAATACAAGTATATTTTTAATTATCGTCATCATCACGTAACTAAAGCATAATCATCTTCAACTTGAAGCTTGTCGTTTCCACGAAAGCAGCTTCCGGGGGGTCCGACCTTGTTTGATCCGGGTCTGAACATGCTCAAACTCCGAGATCCGGCAAGGTATAGTAATGGCACCCGGATGATTATACCCGAATTCCTCTTCAGCCTCCCTCAACAGCTGACCAAATAAAGGGTGGTTGAAGTAAATCACCGGAACAAAAACCCTTTGAAAATCCCCGTCTTTCTGACCCACATAAACCGCCAGCTGACCTTTCGGCACGTCGGACGACTCCGTTTTGCCTCCGTTCGGGTCGTGCCCGAACTGCGTGTAGCCCCGACTCATGATCCGTTTCGGGCCCAGATTACGGGCCGAGCTGGAGGAGCATATGGCTTTTGCTTTGGTCTTCAGGTAGTTAGTCATGTTGAAGAGACACGAAGACGCTTTGGTCTTCCAGCACGAAGACGGCCGGTCAAGCCGGTAATACCCTGTCGTGGATCGGTTTCGTCGGAAAACCCGAAAAAGCATGTTGACCCGGTGTTTCATTGAAAAGCCTCTGAATCTCCCCATTTTCATCGAATCAAGAAAACTATAAAAACTAGAGCTTTGATTAAATCAGCTAGTTTTAAGAAAAGGGCCAAGGGTTATTGACAAACATAGATAAGCGAGAAAGTGTAAGACATATTTCTGAAAGGGAACTTGGTATATTGGTCATTGTCACCAACGCACAAATAAAACGATGGGATTTTCATTCGGAATTGTTACAACCATCAGGATTAATATGTAATATATCGATCTCCGGCGACGATTCCGGCAAGTTTTTATTTCTGGTTGGGTTGGGTGAAGGAAGGAAAAAGAAGGCTGCTAGCTGGTGTATATGATGGAGCTGATGTGAAGTTGGAAAATGAATAGGAAAATGTGGAAGTTTTTATTTGAATATATATAGGGGAAAATGGAAGACTTCTTTTGTGTTTTTAATACTCAAAAGGCATACGGGAAGAGGGGGGAAGTTACTCCGTAGTCCGTACTTGACTCTAGTCAGCACGCAAATGAAATACATTGATGATTGCGGTGCAATTTGTTATGGATGTCGTCATCTAGATTAAAAGCCGTGGTTAGAATGCGATAAAAAAAATTTGATCATTTATTCACTTTTTGTTATGCATAATTTAGTGTCTTAAGTTTTTGTCTTTTTATTCAATTTTATATATTATATATATAAATAAATTATAAAGTTAATTGTGAAGTCCACCCATTTGGCAATTTGTTTTTGCCACGTAAAATTTTTTTGCATGAAATTTTCTCATGTAAAAGTAAAACGGGGAAGAAAACCACCGGGGAGGGGCCCCTCGGCCGGGTTGGGGTCGTCGGATTTGGAAGAACGGTTCTTTACTCATCTATTGGTGATTGGCCCCCTTTCAATTAGAGATAAGTGAGGGGTATCAATTCGGAAAACTCCCTCTATTTTATTCTATTGACTTTGTCATTTTGCTGGATTTTTAATTTTCAAAATAAGCTCAAACTTGTTCACAATTGAAACTGTTCTACTTGAGTGTCTCGCATATATGTAGAGTTTTTTTTTTTCCCCAAGTGTATTACAATATTCAAAATTATTACACTAATTAATTTTGACACTAAACCAATGTATCATGTTTGGGGAAAAATTTTTTTTTAAAAATTTCTTCTAGCAAATATCGTATATGATTACCACACGATCGTATCAACTATGTTAGTCCAATTCATACTTTTAATTAACGTTTTTTTATTCATTATAAATTATAATTCTGTTCAGTCTTTCACGTGTGCGTTGTTCCTAGCAAAAAAACAATAACTGATCTTAGTTCCCTGTATATCACTCACATATTTGGATATTCCATATGCTCACCGAATGTGGCAGTCCAGATATGTGATCTTAAAGAAATGAATCACGTTGACAGGGAAAGAATCCGTTGTTTTCTTTACTTGGGTCACTGAACAAGTAATTCTAACAGTTCCCGAAATTTACCGATATCATAGGTAACTTATATACTTCTGATAAGGTTTCTTTAGAAAATGTCAGTATATATACTGATATTTAAAGTCCCGTCATCATATGACGGTCTCTGTTTTGTATAGGGTAAGTCTTAAGCACTACCCTACAAATATTTTCTCTTATTTATAAAATTTCCAGGTACCGAGAAAAAAAATAATTTGTTAAAAGCATTATATGATTGTGAATCAAATACGGAGCATTTTTTTTAGATATTAAAAAAAAACGATAACTGAATCAAGAGGATGTGCCGAGTGACTATAATTTTTTACAAATAAAAGGTTCCCACATCCTCAAATTAAATGTCCTAAATCTGTGTAGAATCTCTGGCATGAGCTTATAGTTGACCAAGTTTAGCTTCTTTTTCCCCATTTTTCTGGAGAGGAAAATTGATTTAAAATTAATAGGTGATGCGCGTAATTTGAAGATTCAAGCATAACAAGACTAGACGGGGTCTAAACGATTTGTGTGTAGCTTATTTCGCTTGGAGAAACTACACTTTCAAAATAAAATTTGTCAACCACCCCAAAATAAAATAATATGACAATTATTTTGGAACGTAATCCGTTATATTGTGAATGGTGTGTGGACTTTGAAGAGATTACTTGGAAAATCTCCAGCTAAGATAGGACCAAAATGGAAGTTACCAAAGGGTTTTGGCCACCATACGGCTGATGGAGATAATAATAAAGAGGACGGAATCAATCGTCTATTTTCGTTTTGTAAAATCTAGACCTACCAACAATTTAGAAAATTCGATACTCAAATCTCGTAAAATCACTTTGAAGTTGCACCCCTATGCCGGGTTTGACCTAACATATCAGAAATACATTTAAATTGTGCCGCATTAGTTTGATCTTTCAAAAGTTTCCCCTTCTCTAAAATTACTAAATATTCTTAGAATAAACTCTTGTGAAAAAATAGGGTACACGATTGAAATCAACTTAGAATAAACTCTTAAGTACTGATCTAGCAACAAGATAAAACTAAATTAAAATTGCAATTAATGTATAATTAGCTCGGTGTCAACTTACCTCATCTTTTCCACAGTACATAGGACGGGGAAGTACTATTTAAAATTTGTAATTTTTTAGACATACACTCTTCAAACAACGAAAATATCAACTAGAAGAGACAAATTTCCGATCGTGTGCCATGGTTTTTTGGAAATAGTGATGACAAACCAAAACCAGAATAATCAAAGTCGTGGGATAGAGACTTGAACATAAATATTAAATTGCCCGTTATATGAATCCATTGATTTAGTCCACAAGGGGCCGACAAATATCACAAATTAATCCCTTACATTTTACATGTAAATATATATACAGCAAATTAACTAAAATGTTTAATTTAGAGTCACCGCCATTTTGCATATGTACATACGCGGCTGTAGTTTTCCTACTTCTAATTTCTTTGCATATCGCCTTTGTATACATTTTGTCAAGCGAAGTGAATTTGGAGACGAAAACACTTGGTTAACTATATTGTAATAGGGGTTAAATCATGGTTGAAACACGACGTAATTGGGTTTCATATCCTTGAAATATAATACTTTAGGTTTTCGCCTCTTTCTTTTGTAAAAAAGAAAAAATATATATATAGTAATTATATTAATGATAAATTTTAGTGCGTCGTTACAAGTTTTATTAGTGGGAATGTTTCACCAACGAAGTCAAACATGTAAGTTTAGATCAATGTGTTGACCGGCAATTCAATAATTTGTGTGTGTTTTTTTAATATTACGTTCCAATTAATCTGATTCAGAATGTGGATTTTGTTACTTCTAATCCTTGTATCCAATTAAAATAGTACTCAATATTAGTATAATTTATAATATAAACTAATTTCGTGGAATAAATTAGTATTTCAAAAGAATTAATTATAGTGACCGACAATTCAAAAGGCAGTCGTTAGGACTCTGGAGATGCTAAAGAAGTCAATGTGCGAAACCACGTATTAAAGGGCTCATCTATGTACTGGGGCTCATCCAAAAGTACCATTAATTAAATTTTACTCCCTCCGTCTAATAATTATTGTTTAGTTTGAGTTTTCATTTTTAGTTCAAATTGTACTAAAAATGAAATCTCAATTTGGACAATAATTTTGGAACAGAGAGAGTAAAATACAAGGGACACACATATAGTATTTAGGTAATCGATTGTGTACTTCCAAAATCATTGTGGCGTGGCTGTGGTCTGGTGGCAAATTAAAGATCGATTAAATTTAAATATCATATGCATATAGTAGTAATATATGATCAAGTAGGATGCAACAGATGTATAGAATATTTTCTTTTAGTATATATACTTGGTAAAAATAATTTTTGGTCCGAAATGGAAAAAAAAAAAAGAAAAAAAAGAAGAAGATGTATATAACTGTATAGTCCGTACGTACGTTTGCTAGCTAATGTCTATGACTCTATGCTTTGGGAGAATTTTTCATCACATTAGTAAATAGTGTCACGCATGGGTATTAGTTATGTGTGAGCATCTAAGCGTTGACCAATCAAATTATCATTGACAAAAATATGGTCGGCAGCGTTGGAATCAATACCACCATTTGTGTGTTTCATTTCTTGAAGGTGAGATATGGTATTATTCTATGGCGCGATATATCTCCCCATCTCATATAGGTATTCTTCCACCAAACAGGATCTTCTTCTTCTTCTTTTTTTTTTTTCCCTGACAAGTACACTAAAGAGATCCACAATTATGGCAAACCAAAACATGTTTTTCCCAGTTTAAGTAAAAAGGTCATCTCGTTTTAAAAATTTATATAATGGCGAATGAATTATTACAGTCAACGGCTCTTGTAACACAAAGCATGTTAAAATTAAACCAACACCACACACCTAGCCAATTTTGCCATCAAGCTGCAAATCATGTCTTTTGTTTCCCGAACGAACACGACGAAAAGAAATTAAGAAACAAATAATTTTGTACTCCCTCCGTCCCATAATGATTGTCCAGTTTGGAATTTTATTTTTATTTCAAATTGTACTAAAAGTAAAATTTCAAACTGGACAATAATTTTGGGACAGAAGAAGTACTAGTCAGAGTAAAAACATCAATGGCTGCCCTCATAAAATTTTTTCACCCAAATTAAAAAAAAAAAAACAAAAAAAACTTTAAAATATAAGTTGGTCACCCGCTCGCAAGATACTGACTACTGCCAAGCTCTATAATACAAACAAAAATGAAAATCAACTTCCACACCCGTAGCAAATTTTATCATTGATGCATAGAAAGGAACAAATTTTGCAATATGCCGGGGGTTAGAAGGACACCATTGATAATTTTGTTCTTCATCAATTAATTGGTGACCCAACCTCAAAACTCAAATCACATTGAGATTGCATTCCTAGACCGGAAACAAAACACCAAAAATAAACCAAACATTCATAGAAAGAAAACACCAAAAGTCCAAAATTATTATTGGAAAAGAACAAAAGTACTAGTAGTTGATTTTCGGAGGCTCCATTTTGGTCGACCTACTCCAAATTAAAAATAATAGTACTAATACTACTTACTTAAACAAGAATACTTCTTCTAGTGCGACTCCTTCTAGACTCATCCGTACACTTGAGGTCGCAGACGGACGTACGGTCCTTTCGTACTTCGGAGAAGCCGCTGAAGCGATAAGATAGTGACAAATATGTGGACCAGTTGGCGCTCGTGCCGTGTCAAAATTTTATTTGGTGGACCCATTTTTTGACTAATTTGTGCACTAATTTCTTCATTATTTCGATAAACAAAAACATTAGTCAAAAGGTTTAAGTTTAAACAACATATGTAAGATGAATGTGTCCTTTCCTCTTAATCAGACAAATCACAACCACTTTTCTTAAATTGTGCGCTAATTCTAAACTCCATAGTGGCGGCCACCCAGTTTCATTTTTCATTTTTCATCTGGCTCGGCCGAATCGAA